GGCAAATCTGCTGCACAGGAACTTTTTAAAGTGTTGAAGAGCAAAGATATCAGCTTGAGGATTAAGGTGCACCTGACCCAAGCGATGGTATTTTCAATAACCTCATATAGATGCGAAAGCTGGACTGTGAATAAGGAAGATCGCAGAAGAACTGATGCCTTTGAATTACAGTGTTGGAGGAGAACACTAAAAGTGCCATGGGCTGCCAAAAGAACCAATAGATCTGTTTTGGAAGAAGGGTAGCCAGAGTGCTCCTTAAAGGCCAAGATGGCCAAACTTTGTCTCTTTTCCTTTGATATATTGTCAGGTGGGAACAGTCGTTGGAGAAGGATATCATGCTTGGTAAGATGGAGGGTCATAGAAAAAGAGGAAGACCCCCAACAAGACGGACTGGCCAGGTGGCAGCATCGATGGACTCAAGTGTGGCAATAGTACTGAGGTTGGCCCAGGATAGGGCATTGTTTCGTTCTGCTGTGCATAAGGTCGCTATGAGTCAGTGCCAACTCGATGGCACCTAACAACAACAACAGGGAAAAGACAAATGTAACATACAAAGGCAAACAAATCAGATTAAGCTCGGATTTCTCAAGAGAAACCATGCAGGCAAGAAGACAATGGGAAGACATACATAAAACTCTGAAAGAAAAAAACTGCCACCTAAGAATCCTCTACCCAGCTAAGCTGTCAATCAAATATGATGGTGTAATCAAAACATTCCAGGATAAACAGAAGCTTAGGGATTTTGCCAAAGCCAACCCTGCTATGAAAAACATCTTAAAGGAAGTTCTGTGGACTGAGAACCAACAAGATAGACAACAACTACAGAATGACGTATGTGGCAGCATCACCGAGAGCTCAATCAACAAATAGAAGAGTCACAAGAACAGAATAAAATGATAAGAACAGAGGATCTGGGAGGTCAGTCTATGATCAAAACAGTTACAGTGTGAAAGAAGGTAAACACAGAAGAACAGAGATCCAGGTGGTGGGAAGTTCAGGTAGATTACAGGATAAAATAGACTGTCTTAAATGGAGGGTAGAACTAATGGAATATAAGGTAACCACAATGGGGTTGGGGTGGGGGGTTTACTTTGGGTGTTGGGGAGGGCAATACAAGAAGGGGGGATGAGGCGGAAGAACAATATAGATAGGGGAACACTGAGACAGGTTTGCATGGCCTAGTGGGACAGAGGTAAATAGTGATGCATACTCAACCTTGGAATAATAGGGCTCTGGGATACAGGGATCTAGGTATAGTTTGAAGAGG